GTGCGTAAGGGAAAAAGAGTTTATGACACAGCTGCCAGGAAAGAATAATAATAATTCGCTGACCCCGGCCGATGCAAGGGGGAGCATACAGCTGCCAGGAAAGAATAATAATAATTCGCTGACCCCGGCCGATGCAAGGGGGAGCGCGTAAGGGAAGAAGAGGTACTGCACTGCTACTTTTACTACCAGGCAGCAGCAGGCAGCAGCAGGCAGCAGGCAGCAGGTAGCAGCCAGCAGCAGCCAGCAGCAACCCGCACCAGCCAGCAGCAGCCAGCAGCAGGCAGCAGTAGGTGTCTGGCAGGCAGCATCCGGCAGCAGCAACCGGCAGCAGCAACCGGCAGCAGCCGGCGTTAGGCAGCCAGCAGCAGCCAGCAGCAGCCAGCAACAGCCAGCAGCAGGCAGGAGCAGGCAGCAGCCAGCAGCAAGCAGGAGCAGCAGGCAGCAGCAGGCAGCAGGCAACAGGATTCTATTTTAATTTTATTTTATGGCAGCAACAGCAAGAGCAACAGCAACAGCAACAGCAACAACAACAACAACAAGAACAAGAACAAGAACAAGAACAAGAACAAGAACAACAACAACAACAACAACAACACCAACACCAACACCAACACAACAACAACAACAACAACAACAACAACAATGACAATGACCCTTTGCCGGGGGACCCTGTTGGGTCCCCCTCCCACCGGTCACGTACGTCGATTCATTGACTCCGGGGTTTTTGTTTTACCGGTGGGGGGTCCTTCCCGGAGTCTCCTCGAGGTACGTGGGGCTCCTTGGTTGCCCTTCCCGCCCTGATCTGTTCGTTCGAGGCCGCATCCTCGAGGTTCAAGTTCGATGGTAACTTTGTGCGAGATCTCGAACACCTTCAGGCGATAGAATCTCTCGAAAAATTGTGTTTTTCTAGGATTTCAGAAGGGATGGTAGAAGGTTTTTTAGCGTGATTTTGACACTTTTTTCGAAGCTGTTTGGTGTTTTCCTGCCGGCAGCTGCTTTTTTGGAAGCTGTTTTACTGCCAGCAGTACTGCCAGCAGGAAAAAGTAGTTATAGGCATACTTTTGATCCTTCACTGCCACGTTTTACGGCCAGTAGCTGCAGGCAACAGAATCCCTCGATCTCTCGAAAAAGGTTGTTTTTCTAGGATTTCAGACGACACGTTAGGCAGTTTTTTAACGTGGTTTTGAAACTCGATAGATCTACTAAGCTTCTCTAGGATTTCAGAAGACACGTTCGGCAGCTTTTTTGCTGCGATTTTGCGTCCTTTTCGGCACGAAATTAGGTGGTGTTTTACTGTTTCGGACGTGCTTCGAAACAGCAGGGCCAGCTATATATAGTTTTATATTTATAGTTTAGGAGATTTTCGCGGCTTCAGCAGCAGCCAGTAGCCAGCAGCTCAGGAGATTTTCGCGGCTTCAGCAGCAGCCAGTAGCTAGCAGCCAGTAAGTAGGTAGCAGGCCGGTAGCAGCAGCAATAGATCTAATTCTATCTAATTCTAATAAGATTCTTTAGGATTTCAGAAGACACGTTAGGCAGGTTTTTGCTGCGATTTTGTGTCCTTTTCGGCACGAAATTAGGTGGTGCTTTACTGTTTCGGAGGTGCTTCGAAACAGCAGGGCCAGCTATATATAGTTCTCTAGGATTTCAGAAGACACTACTGCTGCTGCTACTACTACTGCTACAGCAGCAGCAGCAGCAGCAGCTAATTTTTTTGCACAGATTGTCTGTTTCTAGGGTTTCAGAAGCAACGTTAGGCAGTAGGGAACGTCCTTCAAGGCCCTGCTGTTTGGGTGTGGCGGAGGCGCCGTTTCTGAGCTTGGAAAGCTAGAAGATGGCTACGTTTCTTGTAGGTTCAGAAAGCACCGTTAGGCAGTAGGGGCCGTTGCCGGCAGGCCCGGTCCGTCCTTCAGGGCCCTGCTGTTTGGGCGTGGCGGAGGCGTCGTTTCTGAGCTTGGAAAGCTCGAAGATGGCTACTTTTCGTGTAGGTTCAGAAAGCAACGTTAGGCCGTTGGGGCCGTTGCCGGCAGGCCCAGTCCGTCCTTCAGGGTGTTGCCATTTGTAGGTTCAGAAAGCAACGTTAGGCAGTAGGGGTCGTTGCCGGCAGGCCCGGTCCGTCCTTCAGGGCCCTGCTGTTTGGGCGTGGCGGAGGCGCCGTTTCTGAGTTTGGCAAGCTCGAAGATGGCTACTTTTCTTGTAGGTTCAGAAAGCAACGTTAGGCAGCAGGGGCCGTTGCCGGCAGGCCCGGTCCGTCCTTTCGGGCCCTGCTGTTTGGGCGTGGCGGAGGCACTTAAAAAGACACTTAGCCGAAAACTACATACAAGTCGTACACCTTGTTCAAACCATTAGTGCCAAGAAAAAACATGCTATGCATACTCTGCGCCGTGGCTAGTTGCTGCACCTGCCACTAGCAATAATATTGCACCTTGCCACGGATGGTTTTCAAAGTGCTAAAGGTGCCTGCATACCAACGCATTCTGAACAGACTTGCTAATAGAAACTGATACATCCATGAGGGTTCAGATAAGGGGGGAGGAGTTGTGCAGACGGTTTTGGTAGATACAGAGCGGAATGCACAGGGTGCACAACTACAAAATGCAAGTGCATGTACTTTTTTTTCAGCTACAAAATGAAGAACATAACTCTTTCTGGCTCGGAAAATAATTCAAAACCAGTACTACAAAATCCAATGCATCTGAAGTCAAAAAAATAGCTGAACGTCGGAATTTCTAACATGATGTTTCCCAATGACATTTTGTAGTTGGGTCTTTGAATTCCAAAGTTCCGACCAACATAAATTCGGAGAACATTTTGTAGTTGTCAATGATTGAATTTAGTTGGATCAAGTGTTGACCCCGTGCGGTTTGTTAGATGGCATTCTGTAGCTTCATGATCTGTTTGTCCATGCTAATGAAATTTTATGTTGCATGCTTCAACTGACTCAACATATATAACTACAAATGAAAATGCATGCAACGAAAGGAATCAACTACAAAATGATTCCAAATACAAAATGGGGGGCACAACCCCTCCTGTTTGTACAAAAAAATGCTGGCTGGCAATCTGTACTGTAGCCCAAGTCCTCCCCATTTCGTAGCTGAAATTTGAAGGAGGATATACATCCTCAATATCTAATTAATCGCTCAAGAAAATCAGCAAACCTTCGCTCCCAAATCCTCCAAAAATGACGTGGGAAAATACGATGGCCTAGCATGTCCAACCATCGTATTTTCCCATATGCTTTTCGAACACCAACAACATCATTGCATGCGATACCTGAACCACTAGTGCCACACATGATGGATGCCTGTGTATTTTATTTCAGTTCTGCGCCTTGCCACGGAACAACACAGCACCTTGCCGCAAAAAGGGGGGATAAATGGGAGGGTTTATTTATTTTATAATTCACGAGCTCAAGACCCACACTCTGGTTGAAGTCGTCGAGGAACTGCTCAGGGGGGTGAAAGGGTTTGGTGGGTGGGTTTTCTTACTATATCAAATATTTTATCAAATATATTTCATTCAAACATATCAAGTATATTTCATGAAAATATACATTTGAAAAAGGAGAAAACCTGCAAGTGCGAAGCACCGACAAATATTTCTGCCAATTTGGTTTCATTCATTGCCAATTCTTCCGGGGTCGGCGGCAGGGGCGGCAGCCCTTAAATAATAACAATAATAATAAATAATAATAATGGATAATGTGCCACAATATTCCACGAAACTTTAAGGCAATTAACGATGAGAATCTACACCTTTGGGCTTTTAACTTTTCCCAGTGTGAGTTCATCAGGTTGCGGGACGGATGGTCTACTGCTCCGACAGTCCTTCGGCACACTGCTACGAAGATATGATGCAGTGGTGCACGTGCAAACTATCACCTGAAACAAACAACACAATGAACAACAAAAGAGCACACAAGGACTCCAAAGCAGTCACATTCTCAAGAATGACAATTGCACTGGCATCAAATTTCCCCCACCACTACAACCGGAACACACAGAGCAGCAAAAACCGCAAGCAATATCTCTGTATCGTCATAGGGAGTCCTTGAAAATACAAGAGATTTCCCATGAAATCCTGAGATTTCCACAGCAAATCCCAAGCTCAACAAATTACCTACACACCGAAGTAGTCCTAAAACCAACCAATCCATCAAGACACAAAATGGCAGCAAAGCCCATTGAAAAAAAATCTACCAGAATGAATCAAAAAAAAAAAGAATCAGAAAAAATAATTCAGAAGTCATGGCAATCCCATCTTGTTGTTTGGGGCCAACTAGAAGCAAACACCATAGCAATCCCTCACATTCCCAAAAAACAACACACAAATCCCACACAATCCCATTAAAAATCCCAGAATTGGCGAACCAGGAACAAACCCTATAAGCCAACCAGAATCAAACACCATTAAAGAAAATCACACAAACCCACAAGGATGATCACACAAAACACACAAAAAACAAAAAACAAAAACAACCAATACCCAAAATGGGAAAGGCTGCCAGAGCACCACTTTGCATGTTCCATCGAACAGTGCTTACATAAACAGAACTCAGCCCAGTTTTTGCCGGCATTACTTTTTCAAAAAACTTCAAACTGACTATCAAAAAACATAAATTGCCTATTGAATTGGAGTCCACATATTCCTACACATCATCACACTGTGCCACAAGCCCACCATTTTTTCCAAGCACACCAGCAGCAGCAAGTCTTTTGGTAGCTACACCATCAAACTGATGGTATTCACAACTGTTGGTCTAGCCCTATTGGTAAGGATGTAATGGGGATTTTGTGGATACTTCAAGGTTTTCTCTGGAGTGGAATAACAACAAGAAAGCCCATAAGAAGTATCCCCCAATCCCCCAAAAGCCACTCTAAGATATAGAGCAAACAAAATGGACAAACATGTTCAAAAAATCAGAATCTAAAAACAACTCGCCATTGCCTTTCCAATTACAGTCCCTTGGAGAGAACCACTTCGTCTTTTCATGGTCTTTTCTATCTTCGCGCCTGATACTTTTGCAAGGCCTCCAAGTCGGGAAGAGCAAAGTTTCCCAGGGCGTCCTTGCACGTGAAGGGTTGCACTGCCATTGGAACTGATGCAACTTCCCGTGACATGGCCATCAAGCGCAACATCCTGGCGAAGGATGCAGGAAAACGGGAACATGCAAACAAAACAAATCCACGAAATGCAATTGAAGCAGTATAGGGAATACTTGTCATTGTTGAACAATTCATTCTAAAGGTCGGTACAATTTTCTGGAGTAGAAAAGCATCTAAACTACCAACTTCCTGACGCAACCACAGGCCCCCAGGAAAGGATTATATTATATTATATTAATTAGCATTCTGGTGAATCAATGGGCTGCAACCCCATAACAGGACCTGATTCCTTTGCGACCAGACACCTGTCTGGCTGTATGCCCAACTCACTCAAGCGCTCGCACAGCAAATTGGCAGCTGCATTTGAAGGCGCGCTGACCAGAACCTTTGCCGTCGGGTTCTTGGTGATGATGGTCCAAATGGTGCGGACCAGAGTGGTCGTCTTGCCCGTTCCTGGAGGTCCCCACAGGAGCAAGGGCAGCAAGGTTTCAAAGGGAGGAGGTCCCCACATCAGCAAGGGCAGCAAGCTTGCATCCAGGAACTGCTTTTGCTGGACGTTCAGGTGTGTATCACACGCTGCCGCTGCTGGTGGCTGGATCATTCGCTTAGTGCTCTCCAGTTGGGCCATGATTCTCTCCGCCAAGTCCACGGCCCGGTGCTTGCTTAGGAAGGGGATGCGGTTGATGCCGAAGCTAACGGTGAAGGGCGGCTTGTTGTGGAAGGTGGGATGAAAGCAAACAATCACTGCAGAGTCCTTTGGGCAAACCGCATGGATGAAACCACGATGCTGAGGATACCCTCGAGACCTCACGTAGAGGCTGTTGCCTATCATGACATTCTGCCCAGAGATGAAAGCTGGCACTCTGATCTTGTGCAGCCTCCTCGGTGACTTTTTGTACAACGGCAAAGGTTTCTTGACTTCGAACTTCTCCCGGCAGACTTCCCGAATCATTTCCACTAATTCCTCTGCAAAGAGCATTGCATGTTGCTGGTCTTTTCTGTTCATTGGGATCCCCTGGCCTTTGCCAACGGCTTGAACCATGCTGGGGTTCAACTTGTACTTTGGCAGGGGGTACAGGAAATGCACATCCAGCGGTGGTTTCTTGCCATCCAGATCTGATACCATGAAGCGATGGACCCCATCACCAGAGCGCTTTTTAATCAGCACACGCCAACCGACCAGCCACTGCAGCACCTCATCAAAATCTGCACCTTCACTGATTCTGAGATCGCAAAATTCTTGGAATCTATCTCCAAGCTCTACGTCTGTCAAAGAAATTTCTTCTTCAAATTCTGCCTCTGTCGACGATGTCGAACATTTGTCTGGTTTTATGACCTCCTGAAGAAAATGTGCGAAGGCTGAGGCCACACGGGCCACACGGGCCACCAACCTGTCCCTCAGTCCTGCGGATGGTCAAACGCTCCAATTCATCTTCTCCCCCGGGGTGAAAAGGAAAGCTGCGGGGGGATCATCATACCAGCTGTCGGCCAGGAAACTGCAACATGTTGGAACGCCTAAGACACATTAAGATATTAAATAATATGGATGGGTTATCCCAAAATTAGACTAATTAGACCTGATGTACAAACCATCAATCGTCACCAACGCACAGTAAGACTGACATTAGTTTCAACTGTTCTGCAAGCCCAGCCTTCGGCCTTGCCTTGGCATTGCCCCTTGACATGCTGATCTCTGTCCCCGATGCACATGAGCAGCCAATGGGAACGGCAAGACTTGAACAAATGCGGCTCCACCCGTCACAAAAAGCTGCCCCACCCCGATTGGATTGAAATCTTTGGTCCCTATCCAGACCCTCTGTTTGTACCCACTAAAATTGTCACTTTGTCTCATAAATTTGGGAAGTTTACCCATTTTTGGTACCAAGAGGGTCTACACCATTCATGATTCTCATGATTCAGCATTCCCTATAATAAAGATATGATTTATTCCCGAACATGGATCCGGCCTGAACATGAAAGAAATGCCCCTTCACGATGACGTTGCACGGAATTCCCATTGCCAGGCTTAGTGTGAATAATGATGGGAAACTCATCCGAATTTAAAACTGATTCTCCCTGCTAACCACACTATAAGAATCATTTGCAGGAGCTTTCAAATAGACATGATAGCACTCAGTTTTTGATAGATTTTGATAGTTGATCCAACTTATATTCACCTCATGGCCTCCAGGTTTGCACTCCAGGTTTGCAATTTTCATATACTTTCATATACCTATTTGGCCTATTTGAAGGCTCCTAAACATACTGAGGCACTGAGGCTCGGACATTGTGCCTAGAAGCGTGTTTATTCCGCGGGGGCAAACTGCTTGGAGGATTACACCATTGAGCAAACCTGTGAGCAATCAGAAATCATGCGCTCCAAGTGCGCTTCACCCCCATAAAGAACTGGTCAAAACATGTCAAAGCCTTCGAAACAAGGGTGTGGCTTGCAGCCACAAGCAGCATATGGCCGGGAAGTGAAAACTTTAATTAGGAAGTGGTCATGATTATTCAAAAAATATTGCGGATTATTGATGATTGTTGGAGGATATATATATAATTATATATATACCCTATTGAACATCTATTTAACATGGCCCATTTCTAGTTGATTTACCTATTAAAGAAAGATTATGATTTTTCCATAGCAAACTGTTACCTATGTATCGCTATGTTAGTTTACCAGGGGGTAAATATACTGCTAAATTATGATGGACATCAACAAATGATCCTTGCGATCCCCATGCTCCATCAGCTCCTTCTGTGCACGTGCCAAACTCTCGCCGCCATCGCCTGACACCTGGATTTCAAGCATCACGAAATTCACGATTTCACCCACGAAACAGGAGAAGAAACACCCAAAACAAAAATGTTATATTTGAAATCCATCAAGAAACACATGAGGACATATTATAATGAGAGATATATATATATATATTATATATATTATATATATATTATATATATATACTTAATTATATATATATACTTAATTATATATATATCTATATATTCGGATAGGAATGGGGGACTTCAACAACAGGCATGTGCATTCTAGCAACAAGACCTGAGAATTCACACCAGCAAAGCCGGATAGAACGAAGACTAGAATGAAGTGGTGGATTTGATGGACTGACTATAGGGGCCGACAAGAAAGGGATTCGACCGACAAAGAATGGATCCCAGAATGAGATTCAAGCATGAAGAATGGAGGCAGCATGAGAAAAAAACTAGCTATCAGCGAACAACCGGCAATCATGGTTTTCCAGACAAAATGTTCCTCCAACGAATTGTCCAACATCCCCCAAAGTATGGCCAAACATGGTCCGATACTACAAACTATCATTACTTTGCATTGGGGTTGAGTGACAGGCAGGGTACTGTAGCAGTGTTACCCCTGGCTGGCCTTTTCGACAACTTGTGGAGTGTCTTTGGCCTGAGGCAGCTGAGGCTGGCACTGGTCAGGGGTCGATCACCTATAGTTACTGTAGTTACCTTTGGACAGCATTTTATTCTGTTGGATATTTGTTTTGCGTGTGACTACGTGTCGATTTTCCAGGAAAACTCTGGCAGGTGGCGTACTGATGGCAACTCAATTTGTGGGAGCTGCACCAAGCATCTTTGAATTTAACACGTGTGAAGCATCTAGGAGAAAACGTGTCAACAGTCTTTCGTGGAAGGCAAACGAGAACAACAAACATGAGTTTTTCTGAAGTCGTTGATGCTGAGTGCGGCTTGCCAGATCCGAGAAGGAAGCATCAGATCTCAATTTGAAGATTAATGGGGATTTAATCAACAAACCTGGACTTCGGCAAAATCACATATCGGGATCAAGGCACCACAAGTGGGCCAATATAGATTCATCATGATTCATCACGGTTTATCCACCATTTGCATCACCCAACCCCTCAGGCCAACCAGGATGGCCCTGTGGCAGCCCGAAATCTGCTGAGGCAATGACGATCTTGGCAAAGAGCTTGTCCAAATCAGCGATGGCCTGCAGCGATCATAAGGCGATCATAGGATGGTAGGGGAGCCACGAAAAAAAAAACGGCGATCATAAGGGCCCAGTATACATATGGGTATGGATCAGTACCTATTAATACCATTTTTAGTGGGATGAACATCCATTTACCAGCTATTTTGATGTGAACTACAGGGGTACAAGGTTTTGACACACTGCCATATCAAACACATAACTGCCTGGTCTTATGTTGAAGAAACAAACTCTTCATGGGGTCTTACTAACGCACAATTATCTGGATAATTACAACAATTATGGTCTTGTAATGTCGTGTCCTTACCCATTGTGCACATGCGAGTGAGAGGGTGGGAATGCTAAATTTGGTTGGATTTATAAATTTATGATTTCAAACCGAGCCTTCACCCTGATGGGAAAACCAGCCTTCACCCTGATGGGAAAACCAGGAATCTCGGTAAGACACAGTTTGAATCGTTTCATTTTTTTGAAAGGACACATCAAGCAGTGAAGTTGGGTAAACTATCAAGGTTTACATCCCAGGTCAAAATGATTGGCCAAGCAACCAACAAAATCTGAGCAGCACTTGCTTCAAACTTAGTCTGCAAGCTTGAATATGCTAGTTGGCTTGGTTTGGCTAATACCACATATAGTCTAGACCCCAACAAAATAGCAATCAATCAACCAAATGGCTATGTCTAGAAAGGGGTCTATATACCACCAAAATGGCAATTGTAAATAATGTTAAAGGGAACATGATGATTTAACAGTCGATTTTGGTAGTTGTCCCCTAAATTTTCAGACAAACCCAACTACTTGGAGGATAATCCCACTGAGTAACTAGTTAGTAATTTTGGTTAGTAAGACCCCTAACTGGATGAATCCCATTTCTAACTGGACATATAGGGTCTCAGTTGCTAACCGGTGACTAGGTGGGATGATCCTCCAAGTAAGGAGTACAGACTCCAAATTCGACCCTGGCCTGATCCAGTTTGGGAAAGACTTTGCTGGGATCCTTTCTGGAACGTCCTGGAGGGGCCCCCCTTTGCGGCGAGAACGTTTACCACTTGGAATCCTGTCGTCGAAGTCCTATTCTCCATGATTCTCCACCATTGGATGACAAGGATGATTCAAATCAAAACGCTGCGAAAATGGTGCTACAAGCCAGCAAACAAGCCTTGGACTTTAGAACTGTCACCACCAAATGCAGGATCACCTAACGACAGATCTGTCGATCAGGATCGCAGCAAAGGCACGATCTGTGAGGGCAATTCCTGCACATTCAGCTGACCCAGGACTTCAGAAATGTCACCAGAACTCCTTGGGGGATCGCCTATGGAGCCCTCAGCTATTGCAGCGAGTGCCCTCTCTGTGGCTTGAACGTCATTCTGCAGCTGACGACTTCAGAACTGTCACCCCCGTATTAGTCACTTCCCCATGTAACAACTGATCCATCAGCCAGGATTGCAGCGAAGGCCCCAAGCATCGCTTGAAGCTGCTGTACATTCCTCAACTGATCTTGGATAGCAGAGCTGTCATCACCTGAACATGGATTGCCCCATGCAACTGCAGATCCATCTTCCAAGATCGCAGCAAATGCACGCCATCTGTGGCCTGAAACTGCTTCACTCCTGTGCGGCTCCTTGGCACTGACTGATAGTCGCCCAACTGCCCTTTGCCTCACATAACAAGTGATCCATCTGCCAAGATTGTGGCAAAGACAGTACCTGCCACCTGAAGATGTTTGACATTTCTCAGCTGATCCTGTACCTGTGAGCTGTCCCCACCCCAATCTGGATCGCCCCATGTCACAACAGATCCATTGGCCAAGAGTGCAGCAAATGCAAATTTGGTCGCCTGTATCGTTTCAACATCTCTCAGTTGATCTTACACACCAGAGCTCTTACCACCAGAAGCGGATGGCATACTTCGTCCCCTGAACCCGTCCGACTCCTTTCAATAGATCCTGCACCCGTCCAGCTTGCAGGCTTTTCAGGGGGGCCAGGACACGGCCATCTGTGAGAAGCTTTGAGAAGACCTGCCCCAATGAGGTCCTGGTGAAAATCTTCAAGTCCTCGACTTTGGAGGATTTCGGAAAAGCTCGCACTCTTTCCGCTTGGTAAAACTACATGTAATCGAAGCGTCAGGTCAAAACTTCCGCGGCCCTGTTGCAAGACATCTTTGAACCCATGATTTCAGACATGTCCACACCGCCAATTCGGTGTCAACACGTGGTGGCCCAGGAAATCCAAAAACCCTTACCCTTTGTGTTGTCTCTATGTGTTTACTTAACGTGCTGTTGGGCTGAATACCAAGCAACTGTATTATTTGTTTTCATAAATCAGGTCCAGAACCTGTACTGTGGGTTGTGGATTATCTATCTCTATCTCAACTGTATTGACGTGTACGGACATTCTATAGATATCTTATGATATCTTTATGTCAAGGTAGGACCAAGGGGGCATACGGTCACCATCTCTCCCAACCAATTGTCATGTTGCTTCATCCACTGCTAGTTGACATTCTGTCAAGGGGATTCAATGGGTGGGATTAGTCAACTGGTTAGTAACTGGCTACGTCATGGATTATTTCACACGCTTGCTAACCAGCAACTAATGCCATGGCGCTGGTATTTCAATATTTTCTTGTTTACATCTGTTTACCTAAAATAGCTGGGGTTTATATGATTTATCTGGGTAAATCATAATATTTCACTATCCTGCATAGTTGGGCCATTTGGGGATGATTCCCCTGAAATAAACCATGATTCCCAGGGTTCGGGAGGACAGTGAGGTCGTTATAATTTACCCCAGATCTATGGATATGTATGGATGTTTATTTTATTCCACCAAAAATGGTACCTCCATAGCCATCTTGACCCATCCCCATGAGCCCCGATCAGAAACAGCAGGCAGGTCCTAAGTCATAGGACTTCCCAGCCGCCAAATCTTTGATCATCTTGCTCATTCTTTCTGCCTGGACAACCAAAAGGGTTACATAAATAAAGGGGATCCATCTGTTTCTGTCCCTTCCTGGTTGGTGGTTGAGCCCTACCCCTCTGAAAAATATGAGTTCGTCAGTTGGGATGATGACATTCCCAATATATGGAAAATTAAAAGCCATGTTCCAAACCACCAACCAGTGTTTATTTCCCTTCAAAATATGTTGACATGAAATCATGCGGGGAAAATCCACTTCGAGGTGAGTTAGTGAGACCAAGCTGTCCCCCATCTGCCCATCTCAAACTTGTTCCTCAAAATGTTGCAATGGTTTGGGATACATGGTAGAACTATGATTGGAGTTTTTGTGACATGCAGTCATTCAGTATTGAAAGCGAACCAAACCGGGAAATGGAGAAATACATCCCAATTATCCAATTATCCAATGGATTCCAATGGATTCAATAAGTCTCTCGGTTGATGTGAGTGTCCAGTTCCATCCATGGCAGATCCTGCAAATCCACCCGAATTTGCATTGGCGAGTCTTGGTTCTATGAGAATGATTAGAATGCAAAAGCGAGGCCAGGAACAAACAAGTAAAGAACAATAACGTCTTTACATCTCTTTAGTCAAAAGCATACTAGGATAATCCCTACAAAAGGCAAACGGTTGGTAACTGTATGTAACCAACCGGTTGAAAAACTGTTCTTTTTGGCAACGTATGGTGTGGCAACCTCAGGAGGTTCCCTCTCATCCAGCTACCATAAAGAAAGCCGGATATGAACTGTTCCCCCATGCATTGCCAAAATTTACCATTATTTATATACCTGCCCTTTACCCAGGTGTTTCCCATCGTGTTCTGATGAACTCCTATAATTTGTATGTTGCTTACAGCCATTGTTTCAAGGTAACCCCTCACACAGAGCCACCCTGCAATGTCAGAGCCTGCGCGTCGACCTCTTGTTGCATCTTTTCTTGTAACTCTTCCAATTCCTGGTTGAGCGCCAGGCTGAAGATGAAGAGATGCAACCATACGGAAATCAAACATGCACTGGGAAATCCCTGACAAATGGAGATTTTATGGAAAAATCATCTGCAACTAAGGCTAAGGTTTTCCCATTGCTATGTTTAAATACCGGAGGATAACCCAAATATTCTGAAGATTTTAAGAGAAAAATCGGTGAAACCACCAAACAGCAATGCAGCATATCATGTTGGTCATATACCCATGGGGCCACTGCAACCATTTTTCATGCTGCAGAATCTTTGTCGGTGAACCCCTCAGAATCCCTTCAACCAACGCTGATTAGCCTCCTGTAATGAAACGGAGCTGGACAATCCCCAATCCAAATGGAGGTTTTAGTGAGTGGGAGAAAATCTGGAGAAATGATGGATTTCCATTGCCATGTTTGATTACCATATATCTCCGCAGCTGAAACCCCTTTCTTTGCTGGGTTAACTAACCCAATTGACCTGGGTAGATATAAATTCGGGGATGATTGCCACATTATAAACCATCATCTACTGTGAGATCGTTGTGAGGTCTCATGATGGTCATATATCCCACCATATCCCAATAAAATTCAATGCACAATCCATTTTTGCTTGGCCAATCCAGCCCACCTGGCCAGATTTCTGGCAATCGCCCGCGCGAGCTCTCACCCACAAGACGAAAACAGTTTCAACGGCACCTGCACTTTGCTGTTGTCAACCACTGTCACCTGCCGGAGCATGTTGCTGATTTCACCCACATTTTTCTGGTGAAGGATGTCAACGGGATCATCATTGCATGGTTTTTCTTGAACGAAAAAACTCTATAACCACCAACCAGTAAGATCAATGTGAACACCTGGGTCTTTCGGAATAAGCATGTACTGAAGCCACCAAACAGACTTGCAAGCAGGACTTGAAGCGCACACGCACACAGGCAAATTCCTTTTGGAATCATGCGGAACAACATCCTTTTGCTGAGTCCATCAACTAGCATCATTGGTACTGTTCTGTAACTGCAATCAGCTGGGTTTTATCTTTTCCAAATTGCAATAACCAGTGCATTATTCACAGATACATATGTAATATATGTATACATGTATAGCAATCCTCATAAAGATAGATAAGTATAAATCATCACTATGTTAGTAGAGATTCACTTTTATATCCGTTTTCTGGGAGACTATATGTATGATCTATGTACACTGCCAGCTGCAGATGTTATCCCAGTGGGTATATGCAGCTAACGGGTGACACCATGGCTTCCCTGAAAGTCCACCAATTTCTCCACTGTTTTCACAGCAATAGCCTCTGGCAATTTAACATAGCTATGGAAAATCACCATTGAGAAAACCATAGCTATGGAAATCACCATTGTTTTTTCTAGCAATACCCTCTGGTAAACTAACATAACTATGGAACATCACCATTTTTAATGGGAAAACTCACTATAAATGGCCATTTTCAATAGCAAACTGTTAGTCATTACCAGAGGGTAAACCTCCATTGAGTTTGGGGATTCTCCAGCCATGTTTGATGACATCGGTACAGGGTGCCCAGCTATCCACAGGAACTTGACCTCAAAGATCCTTGCCATAGCTTCACCATACCCCGGGTCCCCTGTTAAACGATGTTCCGAAAGAAAAACAAAACCATCAGTGAAGAAACCATCATCCCAAATCCAACCTCGGAATATCTTGGAATCATCCCTTGTAGCCATCTGATGTTTCTGAATTCCTCAATTCATGTGAGAAAATTCCCGACCTTATCCATTAAGCTACCAACAAACATCTCCTTCATCCCATTCTGGCGATGATTCCCGCGTTTCGCCTTTGCTGAACCTTGCAACATGCGTTCCTGGTCGTCACATCTCTTCGCCAACTCATCAGAACCTCGGGGCATCGTTGCTGAGATGTGAACTGGGGAACACCGGTTGTCGCATGCTGTCGCATTCTAGCAGGGAGTTTACTGTAAAATACAGCAACGCCCGGTCATAGACAATTTCAAAACCTAGAAGTCATGGAGAAAAAACAACTTTCTGTATCATCCTAGACATGCTTTCCTACCTTTTTGTTGGTGACTATACCCTCTGGTCAACCAACAAAATCTTGACAATGATCTACACATGACGGATTTTCCATCTCCGTGTTGGATTACGAGCAATGTAAAGAATCTGAATCCCAATTTTGGCCGGTTAACTCACCAAAAAAAACATTCAAACAGGATAAATCCCTCAGTGAAATCGCCACTGTTGTGGCTTCAACCGCCATTTCTTCGGACCTCATAGCAGCGAGAACGGTAGCCCGAGCTCCCGACGGTTCCTTTCCGACTCGAGCAATCCCTGGCTGCTGGCGACAGAATGGCGGATACAGCACTGGTCTGCCTTCTACATGGAACTATAGGTCACAGGTATGATATATCTATATATTTATATTATACAATATATGTTTATATAATTGTCTCCAGTATCCACATACGTACATACACTGGTGTCTACTAATCAAGCTAAACTATATCATATATAGATTTATAACATATGTCTATGTTTGTTTAATAATTATAATAGTACTATACTAGTATATAATGATATGGGTCCAGATTGGGCGCCCCCCTGTTGAAATTTCGCCAAAATCTGCACACAAAGCGCCAAACAGGGCCCCCGAAGCTTAGAGGCTGAACGTACAACATGCCAATCATCCGGATAAATTATGATAAATTGTGTATACATTGTGTATACCATGTAAATTGATAAGCAAGGTTACTCTTTGAAAAGATCGCACATCATCACCTTCCAGAATTTCTAGACTACCCATAAAAAAAAAATGCATATATAACTTAGAATAGGCCTTGCCTATGCCCTGCCATCGCAACCATATACTTCAACAAGTTCACCAATCTCCTAGTGCCTACCACAGCCATCTTTCCGCCTTGAGCCGTGCAAGCTCAGTCTTGGCTTCAGTCAAGGCCCTTTGCAACTCCTTGGAATGATGGACCTGGAGGATTTCTGTTGGGAAAATCCTAGATGTAACAAGACAAATCATAAACTTGTAGATGATCTTCCCATTAAAACTTGCTGTTTGATATTGTTTGATTTTCATTGATGTTCCATGTAGGTTTGATTCATCCAAATTAGTGGACAACTTGCAGGAAATCCCTTGTCGTGGCAACACAAATGGTTTCTTGCATACCTTCAAGAAACAAAGTGGCACCGTGACACTTACTGTTCCCTCCTTTTATGATCTTTATTAGGCGACTTCAATGCTTCTAACATCTCAGATTTTTCGGGGGTCCCCAAAAAAGATATGTCATGTTTTTTTTTTCAGGTTGCTAACAGATGATGTTTCCCCCCGTCATCCCACAATTATTCCTTGTTGCTCCATGATATCGACATTCGTAATCCACTATATATATACATATTATAAATCCATGTGTGTATATATATATATATGTAATCCACTATGTAGATGTATCCATTTATATAAATCAACAAATAAAACCGTGCCATGCTTGGTTACCAAAGGGTTTTGCATGGAACACCAAAATCACTGGGAGTTGCCCCAAACTTTGCCCCAAACCTTCAGGTAAATCCCAATGAATTTGTGCTATTTTCCGCCATAAAACGGGCATTTCAATGAACAAAAATACCACACCTCACATGAAATGGGGAAAATCATATCGCCATTGAAGTTCAGGATATTGACATGTATCGACATTTAGGAGTCGACCGTTTGGGATATTTCCCGGTGTATTTCCCCATGAATGGTGAATTCTCCAGCCATGTTCCATCACCGCTGGATGATTTTACGAAATCAACTCCTGGAAAAACCAACTCCGGATGAACATTGAACACTTTTCAGGACTAGTTCGGATATCTCTGGATGATTTTTTACACTTTTCAGGAGATGATTTTCTGATTTTCCGACCCCAACTCAGTGCCCAACATCGATCTCGCTCAAAAGAGCGCCCTTAGCAGCTCACCCAAATACCACTGGGATGATATTCTACCACCCATTTCTGACAAAATAGTTGATGTGTTTTTTTCAGTTTGATTCCAGTCTTGCTGGTACTTTCAATTTCCGAAAAATCTCAATGAATTCTTGGAGACTAGCATCGAATGCTGGGGAACAAACGTACCCTCTGACTATTTAACTTAGAGCCAAATCATCAGAAATAATCTATGAATGGGTCGTTTTCCATAGCTATGTTAAATAACCAGAGGCTCAAAGGGTAACAAAAACAACCTTAATACCAACCAGTCCCAGTTCACCAGCTTATTAAAAATGATTTGCCATGGAGATGTAAGTCATTCGCAGCATCAAATGATGCCTAGCAAGTCTGTAAAATTACTCACCTGTGGATCTTCTTGGTTGCTCACTAAAAAAACTATCTAAGCAGTCGTTCTAATCTTCCGACCATGTTCCCTATTGTGGGTTATTGAGTAAATATTATATATATTTTCTGGCTTGTATTTCTCCAACTTTCACCGAACCCCCGTCTGCCGCCGTTCCAAGTCTTTCCAACTCCGAAAAGTCTCGACCGGGGCCGCCCAGCGGAATTATCCTCACGCGATCGCAGGTCCGGAAACAGCTCCGTGATGGCCACCTTGGCAAGAACCAGGCTGGTTCTACCATCGAAAGGGTAAAACAATGTGAACCAGCCATGACTGGGATTTGAAATATACCACCTATATAAAAATAAATGGTCATTTGGGTGATGGTTTATGACATTGTTTTACCCACATTAGATGTAAGGTGATGGTTTATGACATTGTTTTACCCACATTAGATGTATGATGATGAATTTATGGATCCTACCCGAAAAAAAATGCTACATTTGATGAAAAACTCCAATCAATGCAGGGTTCAAGACTCTAAGACTGAACATGCCAGAGAACACATATACGACTACTGTCTATCGGTTTGTCTGATCATTCAGGGACAAACTCCTAAATCCACTAGTTGATAATAATGGTATAGCATGCAATATAATGGTATGTAATGGTATATTATATAATGCCATACTGGTTGGTGGTTTGAACCATCTTGAAAAATATGAAAGTCAATGGGAAGGATTATCCCATATATTTTGGAAAATAAAAGTCATGTTCCAAACCACCACCCAGCCATTGTTTCATTCATGGTTGCTGGAACTTGGAACCACCATTGTTTTCCGATAAAGGGTCAACCGTCAACCATCATGGCCATTGATAATAATGGTATATAATGGTCCTATATATATATATTTCAAATGAGTTTTGTGCGCAATCCATTTTCAAAGCCCAGTAGTTGATTGGTGGAGCATCGAAAACAGCCTGATTGATGGATCGTCTGGAAGATTTGAAGGTGCTCAAAACAGGTGACGGCCACATGTCGGATGGGGAAAATATGGGAAAATCATAGAACATCCCAAGGAAACGATCGTTTCCTACCAGGAAATCCATGGCAAATCTAGGGGTGTCCAGTTCGGTGTTCCTGCTAAATTTACCCATCCAATTTTCTGAGGATATCTCCCTCACAGGAGAGTCAATGGTCAATGACTACCAACCTGCAGGCACCGTTGACATCACCGTGTCCTCTTATCTCTTTCCCATACCCAGCCTGCAACTCGTCGATGGGTTTTCGGCCCTGCGTGGTATGGCGTGTCGTTCTGTCTGTTGAAGAATCAATGGAACCGTAAATCCGTATCTGTAGAAAAAAACAACACATAGGTTTGGGATGATTTGTGTGTGGTATTTACATTTCTCGTTATCGACAACGCGTCAGCCTTGGGATTCCGGCCCTGATTCCATCCTTACAAACACACAATGTCAACCATTCGCCCATGATTCAACAATCATATCCCTATGATCCCATGCATTTCTGGTTGAAACCCCTATTGATGCTGAGCTACAAAACCGATCGTCCCAATGGAACTCTGTTGGCTAAGCCGTAGTGGATGGATATGTTCCAACAATATCTCACCATAGACTGGGGATGATTCCAACATCTCAGATTCGAGAGATTGGCAAAATTTCGCATGATTTTTTAAGACGTAAAGTGCATGTTGTCCTGCCTTCTGGTTATCATGTACACCCTACAAGTATACAATCCTTTGGAGCAACCCTGTAGAATCTCAGTAAATATCCAATCCCAATTATATAACATCTATATCACAGACTGAACATGATTCTCATATGGCTTTGTCTGAAAATATGGTACCCCCAAGTCCAATGATTCCAATGGATCTGGGTAAATTATAATATTTCACTATCCTGAATAGTTGGGCCACCACTTTCATTTCGGACCCAGCTGCCCCCTGAATAGTTGGGCCATTTGGGGATGATTCCCCTTATTGACCATGATTCCCAGGGTTCTGGAGGACAGTGAGGTCGTGATGAAATTTACCCACATGGATTATTCTCATTATCCCCATTAAAATGGTCATGTGGAGCGCACACACCATTTTCAGCCAAACCCAAATATCCTGTAAGGTTGGTTAGGTATATCCCCTTCAATTCCCATGACATTCCATTGAAACTCTCGGAATGTTGATGGCTCAACCATGCCATATATTCCATAAGTATCCCATACATATCCCATAAAGAATCCTATAAATATCCCATAAATATGCCGTAAATATCCAATAAATATGCCATAGATATCCCATAAATATGCCATAATAATATCCCATAAATATGCCATACATATGCCATAAATCCCAGAGTTTTCATGGCCAGCTCTCCTCCTTTTCCTGTCTTCGGATCATATCTTCCGGATTGAAGAGGTCCTGCGACAGCCCGTGGACCCGGAAAGGGGGCCTTGAGACCAGGCATCGCTGCCTATGGGGATAGCGTATCAGCATGATATCATATGATATAGTGGAGACACGATGTATTGGACAACAAAATCATATAGATGGAGATACCAGCAAATGGTTAATTCTACAGTAACCAACAGTAGATACTATGATTTAGATGGAGATACTAGCAAATGCTGAATTTACCAGCACGAATTGGAGTCTAGCCAACAAAGATTGGCATGTTTTGAGATATCTTAAGATTACCTGACCCATCCTGACCCAAAAAATCGGCGTCTGTTGAAAAGCAAACCTCGGGGACATGGGGTTCCTCTGGATTCATCGAGAAAAACAGCAGAGTTTTCCCGCTGTTTTGTGAACCCCAAAAAAAAACCGGGAAAGATGGTGATACATATATCTTCCACAATTTTTGGAAACACATCAAACATATCTTCCAAACATATCAACCATAAATTTTATTAATAGCTATACATAACTTGGAAAGATGGTGATGAAAATATTGCGAAGAATAGGAACCACCCCAGGAAGAACCCAGAAATGTGATCCGACACACTCTCTCCTTTGCATGGCTGACGACGGAATGAAAGGTCTTGAATAGCTTGTATGTCCTGGTTTGCACCAGCTGAGTTGGTCCAAAACTACTGGGGTTTCCCCAAAATTCCATGGAAGACAAAGCCATCTGTGGAATTGCCATTCTGTGGATAGAACGACATCTAGCAGCTATCACTGTTCAATAATATGTGGGCTGATCCCAAATAACATCGGGAATATACCAGGATGTTTCCAGGAAGCCTCTGCAGGGTGGATTTCAACTCTGCCATCACCGTTCCAAATGGTTTAGGGGGATTTTTTGTTGAGGACAAACTCCTATAACTCGGCGAATCAAGAAGAATTATGATATGATGTACGGGTGTAAATCAGAACATGAAGGACCATAACTTTTTTCCCATTTCTGGAACACCAATGGCCTCCTTTTTTGATGCTTAACACCTTTTTTGTCATGGGTCAAAACCTCCACAGTCCGGAATCTGGGTCTAAATTGAGGATTTCAGGAGGATGACCATGATGCTTTTCTCATGGTTGGTGATTTTAGACTCCCATGATATCCCATTGTATATATATATAATATTCCAAATAATAATATGTATGTATTAAATTTATATATATATGTATAATTATGTTTATGTATATATATATATACACATATCAACATAAACTCCCATGAATTCCAATAAATCTCCAACCACTTTTGGTGAGTCGCGTCGCCAGGTTTTTGAAGCCTTTGTTTCACTCACGGGCAGCTGCCTTGGGTTTCCCGACCCATGTCTTCTCAGAAGACCCTTGAGACAAAAATCTGCATTGTCGAAGACATCATTTTGTCCTTCGTCAAGTGAAAATAAAAAATGTGCCACCGCAGTTTAAGGATTGTTTTCAAGGTCTTGAACATGGAACAGCACATTACCCTAAAAAAAAAAACAACACGCGACATTCTACACATTTAGTCTTCCGAAATCGTGCAAACTCTGCATGATTTTCTATTTTTTGTTCTGATTGATGATTGATCAGTTTGTTTTCAACTTCATCACCTAAAATTCTCAGGATCCTCCGCCAGAAACAGCAACCCCTCATAACCCCAGCATCGCGTTCCATGGCGTTCCATGGCGTTCCATGGCGTTCCATGGCTCCTGCGCCGGACAACTTCATCTGAAGTTCATAATTTTCTTCGATGAGCTTCTTGTGAGTCCATCCTGGCTCTCTCAGATGAGATGGGGATCAAGTCATAATCTCTTGAGCTGAGGGGAACACCGTCATACGCATCAGCATCATCATCATCATCATCATCATCACAATCACCATTACCACCACCATCATCATCATCATCATCATCATCATAATCATCATCATCATCATCATCATCATCCGCATCATCATAATCAACACAATATAGACACTAGTTTTTTCCACTTTCGGGAAAAGTAGAGGACTCGTTGAATGCAGTGTCGGTTGCTGGTTACAAGGCAGTCTATCTGACAAAAAAACTAAGCTGACCTACGAGTAGCAGTATTTGGCATCAACATCCCATCCCTGAATAATTAAACACTTCCATTCTACAGTATGTAAGTATGGTCCCAAGAAATGATGTGTAAATCCCCTAAAAATGAAAAGAGGTCACCAGTTCCTCGGCTTAGCCCCAGGCCCGCTTTCAAAAAAAATCTTTGTGGCTTCTAGAAGTTTCCGCTGTTAAAACCTCTGGGTGCATCAAATGCTCCACTATTTTTTGTGAAATGTTGAGTATCTTAATGGTCCTCATTTTTAGGGATATGTTTGGATATGTTGAGTATCTTCAATGTCAACCATCCAACTTTTGAGGGTAAATACTGGCCTCAATCCACTTGCCCATCTTCGGAGTCTCAACTAAACAGCGGCCCTTCCTTTGGGTGCGACTTCCGAAAATCAAAACCCTCTGAGGGAGCTGCGACTGCAGTTCAACATGTACTCTTTGAGGTCTTCATCCTTAGGTTTCGTCTTACAAAAACGTGCCGGAATGAACGCCACCCCAACAAATCGATCTGAGGATCATGTCCTCTATTTTTGTAATGTAATGTTCGATGGGACACCCAAATGTATAGACACAATACTGAGACAGTTAAATTATATATACAAAAAAACTCTGTCAAACTTGCCTTTTTTGTTACCGACTTACCCATTCCCTGGATGATTTTGGGGTTCCCCATGTCAAGAAACCACGGAATCTTCAAGACTTGATTCAACGCCAAACTTAGGATATACATATTCAATTTCTATTTGATTTATGTATTCAGTAAAAATCATAAGGCAATATATTCGGCATTTCCAGGTTCCGATCCAACATTAGAAGAACTTCCAAGTTCCATCCTGTCTTTTCACTGAGAGCGCCACCACATATCCCGGCGGATTGAAGAAATACACCTCTTGGCGTCGCTCACGTCGCTGACGTCACATGACGTCACATGCCACCAGGTGGCCCACGCGAAACCGTCACTGACTCCACTAATTACGATACGATGGAGACCGAAAGGTGGCTCCGAACAGCTCCCTCCAAGGCACAAAATACAGTTATGGCCATTTACCAGTTATAACTGGCTATAAATGGGATTATACATTCTATAAATGGGGTTATAAGTACTTATAACTGATAAATGGCCATAACTGTAGAAAATTACATTAATTTATATAAATCTATAACTGATAACAGTATTTTCCGCGTCATTTCATTGCTATAGATTGAGAAGAATGAGAAGATAATGCCTATTGAATCCAGTGAACATGTTTTTTCTCCATTACAAAACAAAAGAAATCCCTAAATTGGACTCAATTGGTGATTGGTTCAAAACTTAAATTTCCATTTTTTGCCGGACATACTGTAATTTGATGGTCAAATTCCCACTTTGAACAGTAATGAACCCATTGAACAATAAAAACATGCAGTTCACAGCAATGGATTTGCTGATTTACCAAACAAAAATGCAAGTTTCATCGGGCACGTGATCATCAACCCGTGGATTTCTTGGGGCACCCTGCAAACAAGCCCACTTTTTGAAACGCTTGACTTGATGTCAGCATTGGGAATTCATCATCAATTATGTTGACATAGATTCTATCTGCTAGAAATGGATTTAGCACTCAAAAAAAATGTTTTTGAGTACTAACATATTCTATCTGGTAGAAATGCGGCATACACGTTGATTGTTTTCCAAACACGGGAGATTTAAGCAGCTTGTGACCATGCAATAAAGACTTTGTTGGCTTGAAATCCATGTATTTGGGGTTCCAAATACTGAGAGAAGCCTAAATATGTGGGTCTGTCTGAAAATAGAACATACCTCAAAACAGTCAGTTTGAATATGATTCATTATCAGATTTAAGAGGTATGCTATTCTCAAAGAAAGCCATGTGCATTCTGTTTGCTTCAACCCATGGCAGTCCAGAATGGTGGCCTCATAGTTTTGCACAGCTCCGAGCCTCGGTCGTGGCTGCTGGATGAGCTGTCGATGAAAAAAATGGCAACAATTTTTCGCTGGTTTTTAGAGGAACATAGATCATAAAGGTACATTGATGTCAATCATCTGTAAAGGGTGTGTATTCTATTAGACTATATCAGTATATGAATACATATGAATGATGTATTTCTTATTTCTTGGTGCAAATGGAATCCTACAACTTAATTACTTGGCTGCACTAGACCTAGGCTGCTGGTTCCAGTTCGGAGGCAGAATTTGTTTTCGTGGTCTGAAAGAGGGATGGATCATTGGAATCATCGGTTGATTTAGGTACACAATGAAGCGCACTATACGCAGTATACATCAGTATACGGCTATCCATACGCCCGCAAGTCTGTGATTCTGGGTGGCTTTTTTGGTGATGGTCAAAATCTGAGACCCGAAAAAAAGTTGACGAGTATACATACATACTTTCCTGTAAAACATCGAGCATCCAGTTGAATTATGCTAACTTTAGTTTCAATATAAAAGCACATATAAAAGCATATATACGATATATATATATATATGTATGTAAGCTATACTGGAGCATACCCAGGGAACTGCGGACTGCATCCGCCCACAAATCCCTTTTCCAATTGGAAGTCCAGAAAAAGCCAATCTGCTACAAGCTGATGAGCAGACCCTGGACTGTAGAGCTGTCACCACCAGCATCTGGATTGCCCCATGTCACAACAGATCCATCGGCCAGGATGGCAGCAAATGCATCCCATGTGGCCTGAACCTGCTGCACATTCTTGAGCCGATCTTGGACAGAAGAGCTGTCACCACCATATTCTCGATTGCCCCATGTCACAACAGATCCATCGGCCAGGATGGCAGCAAACGCACGACGTGTGGACTGAACCTGATGCACATTTTTCAGCTGATCTTGGACCAATGAGCAGTTACCGCCAGCATCTGGATTGCCCCAAGTCACAACAGATCCATCTGCCAGGATCGCAGCAAATGCACCGCATGTGGCCTGAACCTGCTGCACATTCTTAAGCTGATCTTGGACTGCAGAGCTGTCGCCGCCAGCATCTGGCCTGCCCCAAGTCACAACAGATCCCTCCTGGCAGATCACAGCGAATGCAAAACCTGAGGCCTGGACCTGCTGCACATGTTTCAGCTGATCTTGGACTGCAGAACTGTCACCACCAACATGTGGAATACCCCATGTCACTACTGATCTGTCTGTCCGAATGGCAGCAAATGCACGACCTGCGGCCTGGACCTGCTGCACATGTTTTAGCTGATCTTCGACTGCAGTGCTGTCACCACCAGCATATGGATTGCCCCATGTCACCACTGATCCATCCGCCAAGATCCCAGCCAATGCAATATCAGCATCTGTGGCCTGAATCTGCCGCAAATTTCTTAGCTGATCTTTGACTGCAAAGCTGACACCTCGAAACAACAATTGATTACCCCATGTCACAACAGATCCATCGGCCAGGATGGCAACAAACGCACGACGTGTGGACTGAACCTGATGCACATTTTTCAGTTGATCTTGGACCAATGAGCAGTCACCACCAGCATCTGGATTGCCCCAAGTCACAACAGATCCATCTGCCAGGATCGCAGCAAAGGCACCCCATGTGGCCTGAACCTGCTGCACATTCCTGAGCCGATGCTGGACTGAAGAGCTGTCACCACCAGCAACTCGACTGCCCCATGTCAAAACCCTGTCACCTCCACTGCACCACATAGCAAAGGACATAGCAAAGGCGTTGTGGGATGCCACGACCTTTGCTTCAAGTGCAACGGCCGTAACATGACCTCCGTCCAGAATGCCGGCAGCTTCCAATGATTCCACAGGGTCTGTCAGCTGGCGTCCGTCAAAGCTGATGAGCCTCAGGAAGCCTCGTCGAAATGACTGTTGGGCCAAAATTCTCAAGTCCCCTACTTTGGAGGACTGCGAAAGCAACAAGCTTTGATTCTGACCACTTGGCAAGAACACATTCACTTGAAGCATCCTCTATCAAAATATGCGTCCACTCAGTCACTCAGGACCCAGGACATGTTCATGAATTTAATTGCTTTCCAAACATCTTGGGCCAAAATCACTGCTAGTGATAATGTCCCAGATCTCACAATGTTTCTTAGCTGAATTTCCGCTCAAAATATCTGCTAGTTGCATAATGGGTAGTTGCAGGCAAGCTGCTGACTCAACGAGGAGTTTGATATGACATGAACGTAGGAATTTTTCATCACTTGGTCCATGTTCAACCCCAAAACTAGGATTTCAATCTGTAATTAGTTCCTATTTATCAGACATGTTTTCCCAAAAGATATCAGATGTTCCCAAGCATGGCTCCAGATGTAGCCCAGTCTGCCCAGGAGTCAGCCAAGCAACATCATTTGCTTCTCCGGCTCAGCGGCCAAAATCAGCTGCTCCCGAAGGTACAAGAGCTCCTAGCTTTGCGGCACACTACATGGAGATTTCCAACGTATTCCAACGTCATGGGGGTTACCCCAAATCATCCAAGTCATGGATGATCATGACTTAGTAGTGAAAACCATGGTGACTTGGGAATCTCCCATTTCAAGAACCCCTTAGATTTAAACCCATATTGGGTATGTGAACCTATAGACACTTGGTAGTTCTTAGTGTACATGCGCTAAAGATTTCAGCTTTTGCGAAGCCCCCAGAGAAATGATCATCGATTTAGCTAAGTAGATCTCTGGTAAGTCCCCATTTCATGGCTTATCCCATTTGGAGGTGTCCTAAAATGGTGGTACCCCTAAATCATCCATTTCAATAAGATTTTCCCTTATAAACCAACTGTTTGGGGGATCCCCCATTTATGGAAACCCCCATTTATAAATGGCTGAACTGATCCCAGGTATACACAGCAGCCGGCAAGACTTTCTCAGCTGATCCTCGGTTGGTATCCCTACTCTGGCTAGATGTGATTAGAAACCCCAATAGATGAATCATCATTAATCCTGGCTTATAGATTAATCCATATCCCTTATATAATATCATATAACTGGCTCATAGATATTATATATATATATAATCATCATTAATCCCATGAAATATAACTGGCTCACATCACTGGGTGATAACCCCAGTTAACCACACAAACGAGTCCTGGAATCCTCCACGCAGCCGCGCCTTGTAGTAGGCTGTACGGCACTGGTTCAGCATCTCGGTCACCGCTTCGGTACGAATGAACTCGCGCTCACCTCACCGACGCTACTCGGACGCCTTTCTCGGTTATGGGATGAAACATTAGTGATTGAATATCCCATATCAATCAAGGGATTAACAATGATCAATATATCTCCAGTTAATCAATAGGATATCAACTATTGATATTACTGTAAATTCCGTTGATCGCAGGATATCGATGGGATATGGATGGGATATGAATGGGAGATATTGTGATGATTATGGGATGACTTACCCACTGGTAATCAAAGACGGCTAGCTGGGAAATCCGCTATAAATGGAGGTTTCTACCTGGGAAAATTGTCTATATATAAATTGGTGATTTTGAGCAAGCCACGTTTGACGACCGGAGGGTAATATGATTTAGCTAATAGAAAATGGGAATCGAACATGCTTTGTGATGATTCAAACAAGAAAAATCATCATCTACCCAAGGAACAGGCAGATTTAAATACTAAGTAATTGAACTAGCAAGTATTGGAATCGTAGGAACCAACTGGGTGAAATGGGCATTGGAGCAAGTGCTATCATGAAGGCTATGGATCCAAAACCCAGTAGCCTGCTTTGGCATGACGACGACCAATGGATGAACGTGAAAATCTACTCTGCTTGATGATTGTCCACCGGGATCATGCTCCAGTAGTTGGAAAGCCTGTACCCCTGCGTGGGTCAAAGCTGAAAACAACCCACTTAAGCGAACCCAACCTAATTTCTGCGGAAATATTCCACTTAAGTTTATATCTGGGGTTTATATCCCAAGTGCTTTTACCATATGGCTGGGGTTTACACTTCATATACTCAAAAAAAATCAACAACCAACATTGTCTCATGCTTTCAAATGGTCAAAACAGGTTGTGGTTCCTAAAATCAACACAATTTCTGGATTATATCTGGGTAAATGATAGTGATTCACTAACCTGAAATAAGGTTTTGGGGATGATTCCCCTTATTAAGCATCATTCCCATGACGTCGCAGTGAGGTCGTCATAATTTATCCCAAAGATATCTAAATCTTTCAACATCATCCCATAATTCACCCGATATATCACATTAAATAATTAAATCCAGTTAAATCACATGAATATCCCGTGTCAATCTTTATTTGCTGAAACCCAGCCGTTGTTTCCATTCAGCTAAGCCACATAGCGCTTTCAGTCCCAGCACCGAATGCAAGGGCACTAGCAGTCGCGGCCGCTCGGCCGCCTCCCCCGGCTTTCAGGGAAATTCCGCGGGGAAACCCATGGTTTTTGCACCCAAATCCCTGGGTTTCCGGTAGATTTTCCACGAAAAATTACAACTCTGGGAGAATGAAGTTCTCGGTCAGTTGGCAAAGGTCAGATCAAAAACTGTTGGGTCTAGAGTATGGAACTTCTTCATGAGGCTTTTCCCAAGCAACTTTTCTCACGGAGGGGCACCACCTAAGGTGGCATTCTTGCTGGGAAATTCAATGTGTAGCTCCTGTAGCTCCGATCCGCTCCCTTCCAACCACCGGAGAGTTCGTTCTTTGTGTTCAAGAAACACACTAAGACGCAGGCCAACAATCCCATAGGATCCATGGTGCTGGTATATATGCTAACATAAAGGGGGTATATTGATGGGATCCATGTTACCATACATAGCATACATGGATCCTATGGGAATTCTACAATGACATCAACAAAATCTACAGGCCCGATCTCTGAATTGATTTGATGAAAAAAAGTATGTAAATATAATGCTTGATTATTTGTCCATCATCATCGTCATCATGATGATGATCATCACATAGATTCTATCCAGGTGCTCTGTTCAAGTAGGTCCCCCTAAAATGCAGCAGATGCTTCGACTAAGAGTGGAAATACTGTATATATAAATATGAATCTGGTTGGTGGTTTCAACCCCTCTAAAAAATATGAGTTCGTCAGTTGGGATGATGACATGACCCCAATATATGGAAAAATAAAAGCCATGTTCCAAACCACCAAGCAGCGAATAAATGGTGCACATCCAATACCCAACCAGCAAATTCTGTCCCCAAACATCTGTTGTACTTGGATGTGCATCCCAGGCATCGATGATCTGATCATCTGAAACCCAGCTAGATCTTTGGGATATACCCCAGTTGTGGCTTATACCAAAAAAACTGCAAGAAAATGGGTCTCACAGCCCCAAGCCCCTAAGCCCCATCTAACTTCGCCAAGGATTCCGAGACCCCTGAATCCAGGCTCTGGTAAAAATATCAGCATTTCGCTATGGAAAATCAGCATGTCTAAATGACCATTATGAATTTTATGAACCAATAAATCATCGAACTATGGGCCATGGCTTCGTTGGCAAACTCAATCTGTGGCCTCGTTGGGATCTTCAAAGACGGTCTCAACCACCTCAGAAAGCCCACGACACACAGCTGGGGCCCCTCCTGGTTTCTGATGAAATTCAGGTGGTTTATAACATTTCATAACCCCGTCTAACTAATGATATATAAACCATAGATCCTATATCTGGCTATAAACCAACTTGGCTATATATTAATATCATCATATATTATCTGGGGACCCCTTCCAGGGGTTGTCACCAAGGAGTTGCAGATGAAAACCAGCAACTTCAATGCGGAAAATAATGGGTCAAATCAGGCCACTCAGAAAAATCAGAAACAAACTGTTGTGGAAAATCATTAGAGAGCCATTTCTACTGTATGATTTTTAATGTTTTGGGGCTGAGAAGCAGGACATAGCAGGACCACCAGCCCATGCCAACGGTTTTGGGACCTTCATCTAGAACAATGATGACCTAGCTTGAGCCAAATTCAAATTAACTTGGATAGTTTGAATCAAACAAGAACACAACGACATGATAAGTCGCTATGCTGCTTAAAAGGGAATCCATTGAACACCCTGGTTTCTCGATCAAGATAAGCATCATCGGTTACTGCAAAATGTCGGTACAACTATACAATCATCAGCATGTCAAATGTCTTTCTGAGGGGTTTACTATAATCATTCCATTACTTTGGGGGTGCAGTTCCAGTTATAAAATGATATATAACCATAGTAAGTTGTAAGGCTTAGAATTTATGGGGCATTCATAACCATGGTTATACCATATTATACCCATTGATATCCTCAAGTGCACCCCCAAAAAGTTAAACCAACTTTGGAAATTTGCACCTTCGTTTTTGACCTCAATCGCCATGCGATGGACCACGGTCCCGCCAACGTGACAAGGCTGCGGCATGTTCGAACGTTGTCTCCTCGCCAGCCGTGACAGCCCATGTCAACCCAAATCTGATATAATCTAGTCTAGTTATGTTTTTTCAGGTGGTTTACCCATGTTTCCCATGAAAACTTTCTCCATCTCCCATTTTTCTCAATGCACCAGTTATTCTTGGAGTTCTTGGAGCGCCAGCCCGGCTGCCCCATGGCCCATGGTTTACAACTTATTTAGGGATCATGTCCCCAATAGGATTTTCAACCTGCCATGGTATTTTTGGGGAATCCCATTTTGGAAAACACCACCATCATCCAATATACATCCCATTCTGTCCCCGATGGTATCCCTAAGTGCTTAAGGTTTTATACCATGTTTGTCTCTGAAGTCCACCATTTCCGGACACTGAAAAAAACATCTGGGCTCCAATTCTGGTAGGTCACAAATCATGTCGTCTACCGTGTAAATGCTGTAAATGCCCTTGCTAAAACCGTTGGACCATGATCCTAGGACGTGCGAGCATAATATGCTTGTGGCTCAACAATACCTATCCAAAAACTTGGTTTCTCCTAAACCTGCTGTGCTTAATACAATGACCAGCCTTTTTGTCCTCTGCTAAACCAACTCAAAACGTGCAAAATCACCACTTGTAATCATCAACAGGCCATGTTCATCAGCCAAAAACTGGTGGCCCAATGACTAGCTCCTCGGCTTCGTTCTCATGCTCAATGGAATACCTGATCTTCAAAGGTCTTGGCCTTGGAGTCTCAAGCGGGCACCTAGCGTGGTGGTAAACCATTCCACGGGGGATCAAATAAGGAATTCATTAAGGGATTAATTAATGGAGATAAGTTTGGGATTTAATGGGTATATATATACACACATAATTATATATATATATGTGAACTCATATAATAATAAGATATATATATATATATTTGCATACTGGGGATACTATGATATAATTTGGAATATATCACCAACAATACGTGCAAAGGGGTCAAGTTACATGGGTCAAGTTATTGGTTTTCTGGGAAATTTACCACCTCGGTTATGGACATCCAAACAGAATGGGTATCTTTTTATCCCGATGAAAATCCTCCAATACGTGATATGTGTGTCTAATGCAACTTTTGACCATGGACCATGGCGAATGTTTTATGACCTGACACTAAATGTATTGCCGTCATTTGCCCATAAATGTATTCACATGTATTCACTAACATTAAAACATGTTCAACATCTAAAAATGATCAAACACATCTGCTTTGTATGTGTACTTTTGAAAGTCGTCCAAAATGATGCCATCTGGTGGCGGATTGGAACCACAATCCACTGGAAACCTCCAAATGGTCCTCGCAGCTTCGCTGAGACAAGACAAAGCCAACTTCCACATACCAAAATCACGGTGCATGCTCCAAAATCACAGCAAAACTCCCAGTTGTGTACAGTATCCACGGCTATATGGTTCAAACAAAATCATCCCGCCAAACCTACAAAATCATCCCGGATTTGACCAATACCACGAAAAACAATTCTGGCAACATGTTTGGTGAACATGAGGTGAACTCTGTTGAAGGTCAACTGACACACCATCAAGTGATCACCCAATAAGATTCTGGTTGGTGGTTTTAAATTTTAACCATCTTGAAAAATATGAAAGTCAATGGGAAGGATGACATCCCATATATTACGGAAAAATAAAAAATGTTCCAAACCACCAACCAGATAAGAAAGTGTCCAACCCACTGTTTTTTTTTCTCATTGTTCTTGTGGTAGTTCCTTCAATGTTTCCTTCATCAATTCATGAAATGACCATCCCTGGCACTGAAATAATTACATAGACCCTGCCAAATTGAGGTTGGAAGAATATCTTGCTCTTGCTATGGCCGATTCTCTTGCTCCCATTCTGAAAGATAGTTTAAGCCCCATTGTGTACTGATTCAATCACCATCTTTGGCTGATCAAAACCAAATGTTACTAGGGTATAGCCACCCAACATCTTGGTAAGCCTTGATGGTTACCCTCTGGTGGCTTCAAACATGGCTGGCAAATCCCAGAACTAAATGATTAAATGGCCATTTTTTCATGGGAGAGTCATCGAACGGGCTGGGTTTTCCATGTTTGAGGCCACCAGAGTAACCCAATTTGTGTTGGTGGAACAATCCCATGAAATCCTCATTACATCAACTGATTTCTCCATCAAAATGATGATGCAGTCAATCCCGTTGAATCCCATCAACTGTTTTCCATGGGAAAAGACCCCAACGTTTCATTCGTTTCGAATCATTTCTGGATAAAACATGATAAAACCATCGCGTTTCTGGATACAAATCAACCAGTCGCTGGTATCTATGCAATAGGATCCCATCCCGGAGAGTAACTATCCCATCAAATCCTTCTTAAAGTCCCATGAACTTATATATATATATATATACATATTATAATATATAATATATAATATTTATAATATACAATATATAATATATAATATACAATATATATATACACACATAATCTATATATATATATAATATATAGAATATAGATACTCATCTTAAATCCCCATTTTTCATGCTCAATCCCTCTGACAAAAATCCCATGAATTTCATCGTCGATGCCAAGCAGCTCAGCTTCATCAGCGGCCTTCTTCCATAGCTCTTCAGCGCTTGTCGATCCCAGGGTCTTCGCATCTGCCAGGGATCGAAATCGAAGTTGGGGATGCGAACATAGAAAAACTTATAGCTTATGTAATGTTTATATATGTTTATATATGTTTATGTCAACTTATAACTTATGTCAAATCGGCGAAGTTCACAACTAACATGTAACATGAACTTATACTCTAGTATGGTGTAATTGTGGTGCACTAAACCCATCTAGTCCCGAAAAGGGGAAAAGACAACGAAATCTGTGGCCATAAACAAACGCAAACAAGACTTGGGCGGCAGGAGCATTGTTCGGCTTGTTTTTTTTTTTAATTTAGCAACAGCAAAAACCAGGGTTACCCCCTCCAGTAGTTCCGGCTGGCACTGGTACTGCACACAAATACCAACCCACACACACACACACACACATCTGGGTAAATTAAAAAAAAAAACACTAACCTGAATTAAGGCCATTTGGGGGTGATTTCCCTTATTAACCATGATTCCAGTGAGGTCGCAGTGAGGTCGTTATAATTTACCCAAACACATGTCTATATAATATATATTAATTACATTCACTTCATTTCACCTGGTAAAGGGTAAAAACATGTACCGTACTACATGCTTGTTGACAACACGATGCCAAATCATTGAGTGTTGGTTGACAATGAACGAGACTGCTTTGCTAGAGGCAAATAATTGGAAAGAAACTGCAACCTGGATTCCCAGAAGCAAATGTTATAGGTGTCGATTCCACTTGCAAAGACAGGAACAGGTGTATTACCTCAATGAGAGACAGAGGAGCATGTTCAAGTATCAACTCAACAACACCCACTAAGAAATAGAACAACTGGGGCAAATCATGATCTTTGACAAACCGGAAACGCGCAACTGGGGATATGATTGGGATGATTTCCTTAATTATGGGTGGGGTGTGCCAGCGATGGCACCAGGAAATCGATCTGTAGAACAACTCCAGTGGAAGTTCCGCAAGTTGTCGCCACAGCAGAGTTTTTTGTTCTGCCCCGCGAACGGCGACCGGAAACGCGGCTGTTGACCTAGGCTGTTGAATCAGAGCAGCCCTAGAGATAAACCAGAAGACTTCGAAAAGGAGAGGATCAAATAAATTATCGATGGTTTGCTAAGGCCAGAGGGGGCCAAACTGCTAGAATATATACGCGACCAACAGTTGAGTACTATCCATGTCCGATGGCTTTAAAGATCATGGATATAGCAACCCAAATTGTTGGACTAAACCAATGGAGCAACCGTCACTCGCCAAGAAACACTAGTTGTATTCATCACAAGAAAAGACATGAAAAAACACTATCCCCATGTTCGGGGTTTTTATGGCATGCCCATGTTGGTTTTATTTGCACATCTTTGCTCGCTCTTGCTCCTTTTGGAAGCACCATCATGTCATTGATCATTTTGGGAGAGTTACCCTTACACTAATCATTTTAATGTGGTAAACACAATAATCACACATCTCAAAAATCACCATAAATGGGTGGTACCATCTCCAAATGGCAGTTGTTTAAATTGTTTATGGCATTGGGCTTACCACATTAATCATCATCTTTCAGTGACATGGTGGTGACATCCTTATAATTTTCCTAGCTCTCAACCCAGCGACTTCGACTTCAACATCTTCTCCACCGATGCTATCGTGGCCGCACAGGCCCAAGCGATGCTCAGAGAAACAGAGACAGAGCCTGCCTGGGCCGTTGGAAAGAAAGGCGACACAATGTCTGTGCATATGTGTATAGAGATAGATGCATCGAACACAATATAAACCTTAAACTATATGTTAAATGTAAATACATACACCAATTAGTTGATACTGTACCAATTACTGACAAAACATGTTTCTATAAATGTTTCTATTCTAACCTTGTGAACATTCCCAGTAAGTGGTAGTCGGTCTACTTGCAGAATTGTGTCGATGCATACTGGTCACTGCAAGACTTAGGACATCTTAGGACCACTAGGCTGCTAAGAACCCTTCAGCTCTGACAAGCCTTGTTTAAATGAATGATCTTGAATGATACCAAACAACATTCGCGTGGTGCGATCAAACAACAAAGGATGCACGCAAATACTGATGTATCCATGAGGCTGAGAAGCATGTCCAAAAATGGCTTTGTCTGGAAATGTTGGAGCAAAATCCCCTGGACCATCTTGTTGCCATTCAACAAATTGCCATTTTCTTCAGGGTATCCCTATGGAATCAGCCAGAAAAACATGGATCAAACGCAATGGATCAACGCCACGGTATGGGTCGAAATTGGGTAATCCTCCAAGTAAACATGGCTGATCATGGCTGGGACCCCGAAGCAAATGAAGGTTTCTAGAAGGTGAGGCCCCCATGGCTGATTTCTCCAATGGGTCCTGGTGGATTTCCAGCTTCGCCAGTGGGTCCTGCAGAAAATCCATCAGAAACGGTGGTTTCACCATCAAGAAATGGTGGTTTTGCCATCAACAAAATGGTGGTGGAACCAAGAAGAAATGGATTCAGTTTGATTTACAGTACTTTCACTATCCCCTAAACTATCCCAAACCAACATCATTAGCCCCTGAGAATCCCCGTTCTCAGAGGAAAGACTTGTTTTCCAACTCATCAACTCATGGCTACGTGGCTAGGTCTTCCACGCTTGTCGTTGGATCCCCTATGACCCTCCAAGCGACTGGTCTCAGGCAGGTCCTGTCCATCAAAGCCACAGGCAAAGGTGCCATGGCAACATATGGACCCATCCTGTGGCATCAAACAGCTGGGGATGGACAAAGCTATCCCCAAAGGTCAGCCTTGGAAAGCAGATTACAGATTTTTTTTTTGCTGCGCCTGGTTCGACCCTCACCCACATCACCATGAAGTTTGGAAAATCAGTCTCAGCATTCCCAATGGAATCTGGTTCTTCTAATCAACCATCCCATTTTTTCTATAGGAAATACACACCCTGGTGCTGCTGATCTTCATCAGGTGAAAATCCTCCAACACATCAGAGGGTCCCAAAATCATCCCCTGGGAGACCCTGCTTCTTGTACTTCACCAAATCCACCAACATCCTCAGAGATTTCGACTTGGACCCATCTCTGGTGCGATGGCGCCATTGTGATGGCGCCATGGTTTTGGTTAACGTTTCATGGGAGCTTTCATGGCTTTGTCTGAAAATGGAAACTTTACACCCAAATTTCTAGACACTTTTGAATCAAGTCACTGCCCATAGGCTTCTGCTTCCTCCGCGCTCCCAAAGGCACCGCTGTCCACGTCGAAGCCACCGCCCTGCGCGCGGCCCGCGAAGCTGAACTCGTCGCCTCCTTCAGCCGCGGCCGCGGCGGCAGCGGCGGCAGCGGCGGCAGCAGCGGCCGCTCGGGCGCCCGCGGTCATACCGGCACCACCGGGTCCGGTCATACCGGCACCACCGGGTCCTGCGAGGTTGGAACACAAGCCATGAAACAGTGGGTGGAATCATTTGGAATAATGTCCTTAATTTTCTGGACTGTAGAAAGAAATATCTTGCTGGTTTAAAGATGTTTTAAGCAGGTCACTTGCACATACTGGCACTAACCAGTGTCGATCCAGATGGGCCAGCCCTCTATTGATAAAGTATCCAGTGGGAGAAGTGTCAAAAAGAAATGAAAAGACCATACGGGCTGATTAGGGAGAAGTATGAAGAAGTATACAACGTTTTCTGGCTGTTCAACGAAATGTGTTTTTTGTACGGTTGGTTTATCTGCCACAGACCAAACAGGAGTCATGAATGCAGGGTGCCTCTATGCAACCGCCTTAAAGAATGATGTTCAACTCCACAATTCAATTGTGAAACATATGGATCAAAAGCCACCAACTTAGAGTTTTACCCAGGATCGTCGCTGGCAAAAATCGCTGGATCTTCAATGATTCATCCAACAGGTCCCCGGTCCGGCCCCGAACCCCGATGCTTCCTCCGAAGTAGTGCGCGGCTGGAGCTTCTTTCCTGATCCCCAAAAAATTGCTGGTCTCTGGTCCCCAAGAATCCTTTTTTCTGTGGAAAATCTGAGTCTTTTGGAGTTTCGATTTCACTTTTGGATTGGAAAACATTGAATATAACATCCATGGATCCACAGTCATCCGCCATTTGTTCCCCATGAAAAAAACGCAGCACTCACTTTCCCATGAATTGCACAGGTCCATCCGCGTCCTGAACCTCTCCAGCATCATGGGGTCATCCCGATCAATCAGCTGGACCTTGGTGGCTTGATTTTGGTGATCGAATGATCGACAAGTAAAAAATGAACTGAACAAAGCCATGCCAAACCATAAAACAACATAATGAAATATTGTTGCATTTCTTGATTCTGAACTATGTTTGGCCTGTGATCTGATTTGACTCATAGTTCTTATCCAGGCCAGTCCACAAAACACAAAACAACATTCCTGGTGGCCTCTGTCAACATCAAGTTGTTTCTCACTTGGACATGGGTTATTAGTTATTATGTGCTAGGGTCATTCCAGCATTGCTGGAATCCTTCTTTTCGCCATGAAAATTCCTGGCAGTATGACTCATCCACATACCATCCCCCAGGGTAAAACATTTTGGACCATCCCCAGGATGAGATGATTGTGACTTCCATGGCCAGTTGTAACTAGATATGGGGGGTTCCATACATGGGGGTACCGAAATATCTGTTTTTTGGTTTATTTCATGGAAAATCCCATTGAAATTAGGATGATAACTA